AAAAGTTCAAAGTGGAGACGAACGCCAAACAATTGCACATGACTGGTTCGGTGGTACTTTTTCGCGATTGTTGCGTCGTCGTGGTCGAGGGTGGGCCAAAGCAGCAGAAGAAATACCGTCGACTTATGCAGCACCGAATCAAGTGGGAAGAGGATATGGTGAAAGGGCCCGACGGCCAAGAAATACCGAACACATGCGTGCTGGTTTGGGAGGGCACTAGTCAACGTCGACACTTCGGTGAAATAAAATTCAAAGTATTTCCGATGGAAAAAATGGCACGGGAATTCTTCCAGAAGCATCAGGTTGAACACTATTGGGATTTAGCTTATTCTGGCGCTGTTTTAGAAGCATCTGCAGATTCCTAAAATCTATTCAGAAGTTGAGTCGTATTAGACTAAGGCAAAATTTCGTTATGTAAATTACGATGAAATATTTTAGTTAAAAAAGTAAATGTCTTTCTCTATTTCGAATGAATGTTTATAATCTTTAATCCGAATCATCATTAGCTCCAACATTTGACGATTCAAAAATTGCCCTCATGGCTTTCTGCTTTTCCAACTGTTGTTTTACCTTGTTAATTAATACATAACGTAGTGTATCCAAAATGCGTTCATTCAAAGTCAATGTATGTTCCGTAAGTCGTTTGAGCGTTTCTGGTTTGAAATATCCCTTTTGGAAGCATTCGGTAATCTGGTCGACTGCCGCCAAACTAGCAGTAACAACTATACCGTGCTCTTCGTCGGCCGCAGAGTCGCTTATGGTCGAAACTAACTGCTCAATTACAGCTGAAATTATAAATAAATAGCTTGAGGTGTTTTTAAAATAAACTTCACTTACCGTTTGGGTTTACGAACTCTACATCTCTGTATTTGCATACTGTCGACGCTGTAATTAGATCGTAAGTAGCAATACCGGCATCCACCAAAGCAGCGCCACAACAATTAATTGCGGTACTAAGCGCACATCCGTCGTCATCCAATATGATCACTTTAATTTCTAGTTGAAAGTACGGAAATTCATGGCGGCAAATAGCAGGCTCTAGTGCTTTTTTCAGCGCCAATGCCATAGACGTTTCCTTTCTCGGTATACATGAGGGATCTTTAACCGCAAACGGTGCATATTTCAGTGTACACGTTACTATGCCTAGTGTGCCACTAAAAAAAAAAGTGAAGCATTAAAATATCACATTTTTCATGAGGCCACTCACATTTTTCTGGTCTGCTTACTTAGCTCACGTGGTGGTTCTATTGATGCCATTACCTTTGTATTACCATATTCCATGTAGGCCGAACCCTTTACAGTTGCCAGTGCACCGACTTTTAAGACTGCAACGAACTCATTAAACATTGATCTTCATAAAAAGTACGTTACCTACATGTGGATCGCTCCTCCAACTGCAAGCTGGCTGGCTTCCAAAGCTTGGCAAATACATCATCCGGATTTTCGCGCTTTATATATAAGGAATAGGGCACTGATTGTTCAGGATACATAAATTTTCGACTAGCTGACGGTGGTGGCATTGTGAAGTTTTTGTATGTTTATTGTTAAATAAGATAAGATTAATTTAATTTTCTATAGGAAAAGTAAACGAGCTTGTTGGAAGGAAAAGACGGGCCAAATGCGAGAGAGTTGCCAGATCAAGTTCTTTGATTTTCGGGATATGCAACATATTAGGTGTGTTCTAGCGATTTTTGGATTAAAACCTATAGAACTGTCAAAAAGAAATATATCTCTCTTAAGAGAGAGCAATGATCGAATAACCGAGAAAACTGCTGAAATGCAAAAAACCATTTTCTTCCACCTACATATATAAATTTCAGAAGTTTTTTTACGAAACTATTCATTCAGGCAAAAATTCTTACACGCAACAATTTAATTCTGCAAAGAGATCGTCAGCTGAGCATTTCTATACATCACATACATAACTAATTTACACTTTTCTTCAACTAAAGAAGAGGTTAGTTCAACATGACAACAAGTTTTTGAGCGTTTTAAGGATTGACTTTAGGTAAATTGAGTGTTAAAGTGGCTGACAAAAATTTTGGCTAATTTTGGTTTTTGATGTTTTCTTTGTTTTTTTTCAATGTTCTTTCTTTTTCTAGTGAAACCAGATGGCATAGAACCCGCTAAAAAACATCGCAATTTTTCACTCTCTTGCTCTTGCGTGATCTTGTGTTATTCGTTCACTGGATGGGCGATAAATCAATGCGTGTGTAGGGCCTTTTACGATTATCCTTAGTTCCGTTCGATAACAAAATTAGCCAACACCTGGCAAGAATGATAGAATACAAGATTGTGCCGTCCTGGGTGTTGACATTTGTGTACCACAAGTAAACAAAGAATTGAGCGAAAAGAAGAACGAGTTGAAACAGTCAAAGCAGTTCACTTTACTGCGAAAAACGTGTTTTAATTTTGCTAAATGCGAAAATATTGCATTTTTCACCTAATCTATTAGAGAACAGTGAACATTGTAGTGCACTCCATTGCTTTACAATTGAGGCTGCTTCAGCAAACGTTTTAGTGCACTTCATTGCTTTGCAATTAAGGCTGCTGCAGAAAACTGCACCAGCATCTCTGCGGGACTGATAAGTTAACTTGCTAATGGAGGCTGCGTGGAACAGAAACAAAATCATTGTGAGGAAATGCTGTTAATATAATAATAGAGAAACATTTTGGGAACGGCTTTGCCGTGCCCTATGTACACAAAATGCACCGATTCGTCCCAGCGCTACACTTGTATCTACGCTTCTTGCATCTTGACGGTTGTCGCAATTTAACACACAACACTTCATTGTATTAGTTTTTACGCAGTCTTCAACTCAAAAATCACTCACTAATTGCAAATTAACTGATTTTTCACTTATAATTCAAATTTCTCTTTCGCTGATATGTAAACAAAGGTTTATTTACAAGTTACCACAACTGTCAAAATCGGCAAAACCAAAGTAGCGGTACCACTGACGGCGCCACCTTTGTTCGCTGCACCGTGAACACCTGGGGCTCTATTCTATAACTGTGAGAAAATGTAGTATACACCGAGTGCAAAACTCACAACCAAAAACTCACCGACTAAAATTCAGTGAGTTTTTCAGAAGAGAAGTGTACACAATTTTGACAGTTAAAACTCATTCTCACACATGTTGAATCGAAAAATGAGGAAGTGTACATAATTTTGACAGCTAAAACTCATTCTCACTCTTCCTGAATCGCAAAATGAAGAGTGCACACAATTTTCAGTGTACACAGAATAGAGCCCCAGCAAACAATGAGCCAACAATCAAACTCAAGAGCGTAATACTAAGTTCACATATAAGTAGATTATCCTCATTTTCGAGCTTAACTTCCTAATCTGTAATTAGAAAAAGAGATTAGCCATATAAAATTCCCCCCTTGTTAATCTGTAATTATAAAATAATCTCAGATTTAACCGATAACTTTTCGGTGTCCATCCTAGTTTTATCGATTGTTTTTGCGAAGAAGAAGAGAAATGGCAAATGTAAAAGTAAACAGAAATGGACGCTAGCAAGGAAAAGAGGGTTTTAAAGGTATTTTTTTAATAAAGTGTTAAGTTAAAATATATTTATATTGCTTAATATAGCAGAAAAACGTGATCTCGGTGGCACAGAGAAGAAACATAACTTTTCCTGGAGATGTGAAAATAACAAGCACAACAAATTTGACGGCTAATAATCTGAGATTTGCCTGTGTAAACGGGGTGATTAAAAAACGAGCTTTGATTGAGATAATATAGATATGTGAACTTAGTTTAAGCGAAAATTCTCTCCCAAAGAGAAGAAAAGCAAAAAAAGGAAATTAGCCATCACTTACAAGAACCGGAAGAAGAAGACACACCCGCAAACTTTGTTTATGTTTTATTTGTAAACAAACTTAAATCACGTCCTCCATGGAAGAAAATAGAAAAGTCAAAGTTCAATGTTCGCCAGGAACATTTCTAGAAGTAAAAATAGTTGGCACTATCATAAAGTTACAGAGCAGGCAGCCAGAAAGCAAATAAATACCAAAACTCGAAAAAAACAATTTTGTTTGTTTACGAAAATTGCAACCACATGTTTTGTAATCATAGATTTTCCTGATGGATAATTTTTGCTGGCAGGGTTGCACGAAAAAAAGTTGAATGGCTAAATGTTGGCTGGCGACCAACTTTGTTGAAAGCGATTAGTTGAAAGGCCGTTCAACCAAAAGTAGAATGCAAAGTTGAACAATGCAAAGACCTTTTTATGGCGAATATTTTGATAATTTTTTATATATTGATATTTTTAACCATTCATTTTTTTCATGCAATCCTGCGGGAGTTGAACGCAAAAGTTGCCTGAAAAATCGCCTCTTGCGAAAGCCCTATATCGCACATTCTCCCTGTTCGCAGTATTCATCCACTTGGCGTGTCTCACTGTCGAATATTCTACGTCATTCCTCGAACATTCTGCCATTTTCTTGTTCGTTTCGCGTTGCCGCAGTATTCGCCACAATGCCCTCTACCACACTTGCTGTTCCAAACGCTGCAAGTATTTCCAAATCGACCATCTACATCCTGGTTCTCGGTCCCCCAACGGAATAGAAGTCAAGCGGAGTAGATTTCAAATTTTTTCAAAAACCGGTGTAAATCTAATCTGATCTTAGCGAAGTCTAGTATTAAGGAACGAATTCTTTACATTTTAACGCTAATGACCCACAGATGGCGGGAAAAAACAGGGTTGTATCAGACTTTCGACGTGGTTTCTAGTTGGTTAGCTTTTATCCATCTCAGTGAAATGGTTAAGTGCTGTCATTTTTATATGGCGAAACTACGCTAAATGAAGTGAGTTATCGGGATAACCAACTCAACAGCAATAACTATGTGGTTAGCTCCGGTGGGGACATGGTATTAGTAGCCGTTCTACAGAACAACTCGATGTTGTAAAAAATTTGGATTGTGTACACCCCGCTTTAGCTTCTGTTAATTCCGATAACTTTCCCTCATCTCCAGTTGTCACCTGTCATATATTTCTTGGTTATTGGCTGCACAGTTCACCTGATTTGACATTTAAAAAACGCACTGTAATTCTTGCTGAGTACTGGTGATTAAACAAAAATAATCGATACGTCCTTTGAAAATTGTTAAAAAATGGTTGCTCCAAAGAAGGAAGAAAAATCTGTAGCTGAGGTGAAGAAAGACGAAGTGAAAGATGCACCGGGAAAGGAGGCAAATAAAGACGCCAAAGACGAAGGTAAGGAACAGGAGCTTTCCGACGAAGATCAACAGTTACAAGATGAACTAGAAATGCTCGTTAGTCGCCTGCAAGAGCCCGACAATTCCCTATACTTGCCAGCACTGGAAATGCTGGCAAAGCTAATAAGAGCCTCTACTACATCCATGACTTCGGTGCCGAAACCTTTGAAGTTCATGCGGCCTCATTATGACACTATGAAAACGCTGTATAAGCAGATGCCCGATCAGCAAACGCGACAATTGTGCGCTGATATTATTTCTGTACTTTCCATGACTATGGGCAGCGGTAAAGATTGTTTAGCGTACCGTTTCCTCTGCGATCGGTCGCAAAAAATTGGAGACTGGGGTCATGAGTATGTACGCCACTTATCTGGCGAAATAGCGGCGCATTACTTGGATACATCTGAAGAATTTCAATCACAGTTGATTGAATTGGTCAAACAGATTATACCGTATAATATGGAACATAACGCTGAAGCAGATGCTTGCGATTTGCTTATTGAGATTGACCATCTGCATTTGTTGCAAGAATATGTGGATGAATCGGCATATCCACGCGTTTGTTTATATTTACAATCTTGCTATCCGTATGTGCCCGAACCAGATAATACTATAATTTTGGAGACTGCTTTGCAATTGGCACGCAAATTTAAACAACACACGCAAGCCTTGCGTTTGGCATTGATGCTGAATGATATGGATAAAATCACTGAAATATTTAAGGAACCTAAAGATGCCGCGGTACAAAAGCAGCTTGCTTTCATGCTAGCCCGCCAGCAAGTGTGCCTGGAATTAGATGAGTCTGTGCCAGATTATGATGATCTAATGGAAATCATGTCCAATGCGAATTTAAATAAACATTTCTTGAATTTGGCACGTGAACTTGATATCATGGAAGCCAAAACACCGGAGGACATATACAAATCTCATTTAGATAATGCACGTACGCGTTTCGCCTCGATACAGGTATGATACATAATTTAAATTATTTGTTTTTTTTTTTATTATTTATTAATATCAGGTTGACTCAGCGAAGCAAAATTTGGCTGCCAGTTTTGTAAATGGTTTTGTAAATGCTGGCTTTGGTGTAGATAAACTACTCTCCGAAGATGGCAATAAGTGGCTGTACAAAAATAAAGAGCACGGCATGCTCTCTGCGACCGCCTCTCTAGGACTGATTCTATTATGGGACGTTGATGGTGGTTTAACTATGATTGATAAATATCTGTATTCAACCGATGATTACATCAAATCCGGTGCTCTTCTCGCATGTGGCATTGTAAATTGCGGAATACGCAATGAGGTTGATCCTGCACATGCCCTACTCTCTGATTATATTGATAATCAAAATATATCTATGCGTATCGGTGCTATTCTGGGTCTAGGTATTGCATATGCTGGCTCTAACCGCACAATTGTCATAGATACATTGAAAACGGTGTTTGCGACCAATGGTAAAAATGTTGCTAATGTAGAAGTTATGGGTATAACCGCGTTATCGTTGGGTTTGATATCGGTGGGCTCGTGCAATGCTGAAATTACCGAAATTTTGTTACAAACCATTATGGGTCTTTCCAAGTCCGATTTAAAGGACACGTATAGCCGTTTTCTATGGTTAGGATTAGGTTTGTTATACCTAGGACGGCAAAAAGCCACCGAAGCGGTTATGCTCACCTTAGAAGTACTGGATGAGCCATACCGTTCTATGGCTACAACCATGGTAGATATTTGCGCTTATGCCGGTACCGGAAATGTATTGAAAATCCAGCATTTGCTACATATTTGCTCTGACCATTATGAATCCTCTAACGGAGACGGAGGAGAAGAGAAAGGCAAGAAGGATAAAAATAAAGAAAAGGTAAATTAAGATAGCAATGCACTTATTAAAAACTTAATAATACAAACTTGCTTCAAACACAGGACAAAGCTGAAAAGGAGAAAGAAAAGGAGAAGGATCTTTCGGCAACTCAGGCAATCGCTGTATTGGGAATCGCTCTAATTGCTATGGGTGAGGATATTGGAGCTGAAATGGCTTTTCGCTCGTTCGGAAATTTACTTCGCTATTGTGAGCCGTGTATTCGTCGTGCTGTACCACTTGCTTTAGGCTTAATTTCGGCTTCTAATCCTAAATTAAATATACTGGATACATTAAGCAAATTTTCACATGACAGCGATGCGGAAGTGGCGCATAATGCCATTTTTGCAATGGGTCTTATAGGCGCAGGTACTAATAATGCTCGCCTGGCATCTATGTTGCGTCAATTGGCACAATATCACTCGAAGGATCCGAGTAATTTGTTCATGGTTCGAATTGCACAAAGTCTTACACATTTGGGTAAGGGCACACTGACGCTCAGCCCATATCACAGTGATCGCCAACTAATGAATCCTATGGCTGTTGCGGGTCTTATGGCAACTCTCGTTTCTCTATTGGATGTTAAGACATTAATATTGGGTCGCTCACATTACTTGCTTTATACTTTGGTGCCAGCAATGCAGGCACGCATGCTGATAACATTCGATGAAGAGTTAAATCAACTGCAAGTGCCGGTGCGTGTTGGTATAGCTATTGATGTTGTGGGCCAAGCTGGCAAACCTAAAACCATTACTGGTTTCCAAACTCATACTACACCGGTTTTACTTGCGATGGGCGAACGTGCCGAACTGGCAACTGATGAGTATATCTCCCTTACTCCAGTTATGGAAGGCTTTGTCATATTGAAGAAAAATCCAAATTTCGTCAAGTAATAATTTTAATGCATTTTTGTCGAATTAACCTACATTTAACACATACATATTTTTGCTGGTAATTTCTGATATTTAAAATAAAATATAAACAACTTAAACTTTCCTATAAGCCTGTTTTTTATTTAGCATGAATTGTTATATTAAGTCAACGCAGATCGAAGTGGGGAACATAACGCTTTTGAAGGAAAGAAACCCAGACACAATGCACTGTTTACGTGAGAAGTTTCAGGGTGTTTTGCGGCTGACAAAACGATATTGTAACGAAACCCTCTATTTTTACGGAACATCTCTATTGACTAGCTTTATTTAATACGTCGATATTTTAGTACAATGCTATAAAAATACATTAGGGCCATTGTGACTAGTGGGACATTTTACTCCAGAATGTGATCAATTGTGAATTTTAACTATGCCGTCGGAACTTATACAACAGCGAAAGATATTTTTTTTTATCATAGAACGATAACTAATGTATAAAATTGCTTTAACAAAAATACCAAACGATTTCTTAGTTTTATGTAACTATCATTTAAATGAATGTGACTGGTGGGACACTGAACAGAACTATATTTTACCCTTGTTTAGCCAAAACACTTAATTTTCACGAACGATGTATATGTGTTGTAAAATATGAATTATACGCTTCCGTTTTCAATAAAAATGAGGTTTATATAATCTTCATAGAAAATTTAAAAAATATTTAAAGTTGTGACTGGTAGGACATCTCCTTGTGACTGGTGTAAAGTAATTATGCATGAAATAAAAGTTTCCATAGACAAAAATTACAGCTTTTGATTTTTTTAATATTTTCCTACAGCTAAATGAAATCTGTGTTCGTATGGAAAAGTAGCTTATGTCGAAAGGCTGGCCTTAGTATAAATCGGCATTCGCAGCATACTACGCTAAGCCGTAGAACAACTTTTGGCAAATAAACGTGCAAGAAATGCTCCGATACTAACAAGTCAATATTCTTATTAAAATCATCAAGAACTTCCTTGTCGTTTAAAGAATAAAGGGAATGCCGCATTATACTAAAGCCAGCCTTTCGACATAATCTACTTTTCCATACGAACACAAAAATGTAGTAATTTAAAAAGAGATTACTACTGAAATAGAGATAATTAGGGCATATTTAATTTTATGTAATTTTCCTCTTTTCAATGGAATTTCCCATTACCTAAAACTTATGTATTCATATGTTTGGGAGATCGTTTTGATTCCTTCCAGATTTATTTACTGAAAATTAAAGGAAAGGCAGTTAGTTTTGAGATAATAAGGGTGCTTGTATACACAAATGAATTAAGCAGAACTGTATACATATTTATATTTTGTCAGAATTAAGTAAGCCATTTTGCTGAGATGATGGTAAAACCAAAGCCAAACATTTTTGCAATTGAAAAATAACAAATTCGTATTCGATCACCTTGAAAGCACAATAATATTGTAATTTAAATGCTATGTGATATTAAATAATTAATGCACAAAGCACATGTAAGTATGTATGTACATATTTGTATAATTGTAAATAAATTGAGATAAGCACATTGCAATTTTTTTGCGCAAGCATATTTGTGAAAAAAAAAATATGGAAAACTACGATGCATAAGGTACACAAACGACAACGGACAACATTAAAACTATTTAAATTATATTGACCTCATTTTAAAATATTTGTCATCTATAAATTGGCAAAATGCTACCAAACTTTTGAATTTCCGCACAGTCTGTGCTAATGCCATATTGGGCAAATCCGTCGTTAAAATTGCAAAAAGATGTCCAAAGGCAATGGCGTCCAATTCACAAGGTTCATTAGAATAAAAGAACGGCGTATCTGGCGATTCTTCGAGCTTGAGTGTCAACGTTTCGCAACATTTATCCACCTTTTCAATAACATCATCAATTGTCATATCATTCCACTGATACACTTTCAGTATACGTAGCGCATTGCGTCGTTTCGAGCTGTTTTGTATCAAGTTAAGTGGCCACGGAAATACGCAGCCATTGCGTGGCGCTGTTACCTTTTCATACACTGTTTTGTTCATAAAGCTTATGTATAGTTCAGCCATAGTGAAAATGTTTTCCGCCAACGAAACGTAAGTACGCATATCAGATTTGTTGTCTTCGTCAAGCCATTGACCAATGGAGGAACCTTTGTGCTCTACAAAATTAACAATCGGTTCGAATTCGGCAACTATAAATGCACCGGCGCGGAGAAAGGGCAGCTTGGTCATACGTCCACCTGGTGACATATATTCAGCATTTGAACAAGAACGCACTTCAAATGGGAGCTGACACATCTTTAAATATGCCTTAACTGCCAAGCAACTGGCATGCTCTGGCAAAAGTATTTGTTCGGCTTCGTATGGCTGGTAGAGAACTGCATCTTCAGGCCACGGCTCGTCGCTCATCTTCTCGACAGCGTTCAGTTGACTAAGGTACTGCGAGGACTGCATATTGGATTATTTTATTGCAAATTTTTCAATAAGTCAGTAGAGAAACTTGAAATTAATAACTTGTTTTGATTTTATAAATTGCTTACACAATTGCTAGATTCCCAAAGATGATTTTTTCCAAGGCTCAACTAGTCAGAAAGCAGCTGATGAATAGTGGTGTGGATCGTAAAATTAAACCAAAGCAAATTTATAGCTTTGTTCCACATGCTCTAAGGCGAATTTATACAAGGTGTAAGGGCGAATTTATACAAGGTGTTACATGTTCTCTGGCATGAACCAATTTACAAGATCCGGCAACCGTGTATTTGTAATTGCATTTGAGAAAAAAAATAATAGGTGATGACGTCATTTTTTAATCGGTTCTTTCATTCACACACAGGTTTCATTCCGTTTTATTCACAAGGCGGCGAAAAAATGACGTCACTGCAAAAAAATAACTTTTTTCTCGCACGCCGTCCTAGGTGATCTTTATTCGTTCGTTCATGGTTCTCTGGCCCTAGTATGACAGATCGTGTCAGCTGACTCGGTTTACGTACCGGTACGTTTACGGTCTTGACTAATTTCAGCTTAATGTAGGCGTTATTCATTTTGACGATAATACTGGCAAATAGAGTAAAATTTAAAAACTGACAACAGGCAAACAGTGAATTAAAAATCATAATCATATAATGACAACATGTTTTACCATTTCTTAATGAAAACGCTGTTTCAACAATTTATAAGAATTACTTTTGAAATTAAGCATAGCAGCCAATTTATATTTTCTCACAACAAACAAACGCAACGTCTACGAGGTCTTTAATTACAATACAATCAGCTGTTTGCTAATCATTTAATGACGTTATGCCTTGCTTTTTTAATTGTTAATAAAGAAGGCTTATTTCCAACTTTAACAACAATAAAACACTTGTTAATGTCCGTAATGCAAAGATGAATCGTTTTGAATACCTGGAAGCGCGCTTGCACGACGATGAAACATTTGTGAGTCGAGATCGTAATGTCAAAATTTATGATGGGGATCAAAAGGTAAGTATTTTTAGTACAGCAGATAACAATAGTATTTATCATTTTTAAAACATTTCCAGACAGAATATGAGGAAGGTGAGGTGGTACTCACCACTCATCGTTTGTTCTGGGGTCGGCCTGGTGAAATTGCTCGTGCTTCTATAACACTCTGCCTCTCGCTACGTCATGTGATATCCCTCAGTGAAGAGGCGGCCAGTTCATACTTCTTCGGACGCAAGACACGATACATATTACACTTGCGCGAACCACCGCCAGATAAAGCACCTGGCCCAATTGATTACAGTCCGCATAGCCATATTAAACTTTCAGGAAAAAATGGGTTAACACCCGAGTTCGGTAGTGCTTTACGCCAAACAATAGAGGCACGTATTTGGGAAGTAATAGTCATACCAAGGCCACTATGCCAGGCGGGTAATGTCCAACAAAATTCTGGTGCAGGAAACAATCCTGCACAATTGCGTTTGAAAATGCGTACTGGCATTGGTGGTATCGAGCGTTCCATTGAAGCCAAGGCAAAAGAGACGGATGAAAATATTGCACTGGCTTTTCAGGACCTTAATGTACTAATGGCCATGGCTAAAGATATGGTAGCCATATCTAAGGTGATAAGCACAAAGATACGCGAACAAAAAGGGGAAATTTCCGATGACGAAACGGTGCGTTTTAAATCCTATTTGTTGAGTTTAGGTATAGACGATCCAGTGACACGAGAACATTTCTCCAGTAACTCTGAATATTTTCGCAGTTTGGCGCAACAAGTATGTGAATTGCTTCTGGATCCCATTGAGGTGAGTAGGAGCTCCAGTGCATTTGTATGTATACACCAAAAGGATAGTTCAATACTTTTAACCTTCATATTAATTATATTTTTACAATTTCCAGGAACAAGGTGGCATGATGTCGCTTGCAGATGTTTATTGTCGTGTAAACCGTGCGCGCGGCCTTGAGTTACTCTCACCAGAGGACTTACTACACGCTTGCGAACAACTCAATGGTCCCATAAAGCTGAGAAAATTTCCCAGTGGCGCTATGGTACTCCAGTTGGAATCTCAAGATGATGAGCTTGTAGCGGCAGATACGTTGGAAAAGGTGAAAGAGGCCACATCGTTAGCGGTTGAAGAGCTTGCCAAACATATGGGTATTTCTTTGCTGTTGGCAAAGGAGCGGCTATTAGCCGCTGAGCGTTTGGGTAAAGTGTGTCGCGATGAATCGTTAGAAGGATTACGCTTCTATCCAAACTTGTTGCTTCATCGTGACAATGATAGCTAAGAGGTTGAAGTGTGGAAATGGAATTACATATTAATATCTAAATAGTAAAAATGCAAAACATAAGTAAATAAAATTTTTAAAGCTTTCTCATTTTTTCCATTTAATAAATATCTTTTTATTATCACTTACATAAATACATATTTTACAATATATTTTTTAGTTTTGATATTGGATACATATATATACATATATATGTATATACGTACACACATATATATTTATATACATACATACATATACACATATATGTATATATTTAGATTGCGCAGATTACATTGCATTTTTTTATCATAACATTGCATATTTTTAATCGCTAGAGTCATTATATTTTTTAGTGTAACTATAATAAATTGCAGCATATATTTTTTATAAAGAAAGATTATGCCAGCTAAATCGAGAGTCTTCTTATCATACAATTGTAATTAGTGTTATGTATTTGTATCTACTCACATTACATTTATTTAGGTTTAATTCGATATAAATTTTTAATGTTTTTATTAACTGCTTTTTGTATTTTCTTTTGCTTGCAAGCATTATATAGCAATAATGCTTTTATTACATATTTATATGTATATACACACACATACATACATTCATAAGTACATTATCATTTTTTATAGTCTTTTGAGTATTCAAGTTTTTAGCTTAAACTATGAACTTTGAGTTATTAGTATTAGTTCTCTACTAATATGTATATTTTGAGTGCATTTTCGTATTTTGGTCACAAAATCGTTTGAAAATTTAAATGCATTATTTATTTATTTAATTTCTGTGAATTTCTCATTTCACTTCAATCAGGTATAGGTCAGTGCGAATATTATTAAGCCAATGTTAAAAGCTAAGTAAAAACGCTGTTGAAGTAACAGAGACAGCACCACATTCACACACTCTTTTTTCGTCAGATTCCAGCGCAAGTCAACATGATTCTTCTGTGATAAAATCTAAGTAAAAGCGCAAAAAAAACATATATAAAAATATCAGGTATGCAGCCATTCAGTAGTGGGATTCTACAAATATATAAGATTACGCTAAATTTTAACAACCGATATTATAAAAAAAGATGCTGGTGCTTTAAATTTTTGCATTTAGGATTTTAGGCGGCCGGGTTGTTAGTAGCACTAAGTTCTTGCCTTAATGTATCCAGCAATCTATAATTGAAACCAAAATTTATGGCACTATTCCCAGTGCCAATGACAAAATTCATCGCATGGCTAATGCTTTAACTACGGCTGCTGTGACTGAGTGGCTAGAGGCGAGTACTACCTCTCCATGGGACATGGGTTTGATCTCTGGTCCGAGCAACATCTAAATTAGAAGTTTCTTTTAAACATTTAAACATTTGCCGTTCGGAGGCGGTGTAAAACTGTCGGTACCGCCATTTAAGTAATAACGTGAATACGCACATCATAAACGGGAGGAAAATCTCGACAAAACACCTAGTAAGTACAAAAATATCATTATTAATAATGACTATTGCGATTGCTATTATAATGACCTACTGAGTACATTGCAATGACGAAACATTGAGCCTTACCGATAATTCCATGTGAATAATTCCTTCTCATAAACGAATACCACATTAAATTTCATATAAAAAAATTTCATCCAATAAACAGATGGGTGAATGTCGTTCCTTATTCGGATCTTCTACTAACTACAAAATTTTCAGTTGTAGTATAATAAAGTGTTAGTTTCAAGCCACTAAAAGTTACCGTTGATTTCTTAGACTTTTTTTTACCGAGGGTGTTGCGCATTTTCTTCCATATAAAAAACAGATTTTGTTCACGGAGGAAAATGCTCACCCTCGACAAAGGAAAAACAAGAAAAAGTCGATGGTTCTTTTAAGTGACTTGAAACTTGCACTTTATTGCAATAAAATTGAATGGACTACAAAACTGCATACTCAAAAATTCTGAATAAACTTTGAAATTTTGATGAAAAGTTTTTAGGTAGATTAATTTTTGTGAACTTTGCGCATTATTTGCAAGTTTTATTTGTGTGGTTTCTGTTATAGATCGAACTATATTTTTTAATGAACATTATTAAAGTTGCAAACAACATGATTTTGAATTTTGCTACTATTTTATTTCCCGCAGCTTAATGTACATATATACATACCCTCACGGCAAAAAGTATTGGCACAAAATTTTTCACACTACATGAAACTTCTTTTATTATAATTTTTTCCGATAACTTGTTATAAAAGTATGGTTCATACTACAGCAACAATCAAAAAAATATAATTTTTAACTTTGTGCAAATTAAATAAATATTCAACAGATTTTTTTTTTAAATTTTACACAGAATTTCTAAGTGCAGTTTTGTAGCCCATTTTTGATAAAAAAGGCAAACTTGAAGTTGATAAAAAATCGCACTGATTTTTTAGAAGTTTTTTTTTTTTTGTTGAAGCCGTTAGTTGAACATATTTTTATAAAAAAAATTTGCAGAAAAAATTATACCTAATAAACATTTTTTCTCTGTGCCAATAGTTTTTGCCGTTAGTGAATATAATTACGGTTCTGAAAAAAGTGTTAAAAAATCTTGAAATAAATAAACCCAGGCGCTTTTTTACGACGACTATTACACTTGACTCTATTTACAAGCTTTACTGAGGGATTAGATAACCTTCGGGGATAAGGATATAGCCTGATGGTTAGACGTGTTCTGAGCAGCATTCAACAAGTTTTTTCTAGTAGCGGTCGCCCCGTTAGGATGTACTTATACCCAGGCCCGACTGGTAGTTTGTCGACAACGACAAGAAAGCCCGAAATTAACAAGGGCCCGGGATTTTTTGAAAATTAAATTGGTAAATAAAAAAATTTTACTAAGTTGATAAATTTGATTACAATATTTTAAGATATTTTTTTTTTTTTGTTGGCGGGGGTTGTTCCCAGCACATATTTAGTACCGGGCCCGGATTAGCTCTTGGTGGCCCTGCTTACACCTAATCATCTTCTTGCACGGTTAGTCGGGGAACTAAAAAACTCAAGCAAAAAAAAAAATGTAAAAAAAATTATTATTTTCAAACGAGATCCACAGTTGCTGACTTTTCTAATAAACTCATCTCATTATAAAATAAAAATCACATAAAAGACCCAACTGCTTTCTATTAAAAAAAGGTAATCAGGACTATCACAGAATCCATCGTAGCTTTGGTTTTCATGAAATCTAGCTACGAACGTAAATTCGAAATTCGTAGAGAGCCTTCATCGAATCCGTTCTTATTGAAGATACTCTATGACGAGTTTATGCTGTCGGAACAAAATTTAAAGCAGAGACCATAACAATTATAAGAAATAAAATTTAATATTGCTCTATAATTATAACTGAACAATGGAAAAGTTGTTTTCGTCTCGCAGGACGATTATTTTAAGATGTAAACTATTTTCGTCTTTTCATCTAACCTAATTATATAAAGAGATGTCCCTTTTTTTGTAAAAGGTAATCTCGCGAACGGCTGGTCCGATTTTCATAAAATTTTTTATATAAATAGCTTTCAGCTATGACATGGTGGTTTGTCATAGGGACCGATCTATTCGAAAACTCTTATAATGGTGCGGTTTGCTTAAAATTTGGTACGTAGGTAGCGTTTTGCTCAGATAGCATTTAGGATCCGTTTTCCGGGAAGTGGACCAGGAAGCGATCTATTCGAAAAAATCATATTTAGCTTCTTGCATAGATTAGAATATAGGATCCTTTTTTAGGGAAGTGGATCAGGGACCGATCTATTCGAAAAAGTCGTATTTATGGTCCGATATGCTTTTTGCGAAATTAACATATAGGATCCTTTTTTCCGGTGAGTAATACCGTGACCGATCTATTCGAAAAAGTCGTTCTTATGGTCCAATTTGCTTGAAATTTGGCACGTAGGCAGTTTTTTTTTGCCGAAATTAGCATTTAGAATACCTTTTTCCGCTAAGTAGACCAGGGACCAATCTATTCGAAAAAATCTCATTTATGGTGCGATTTGCTTGAAAGTAAGGAGGTAGCTTACTGCCTGGATTGACATATAGGATACTTTTTTTCTGATAGATGGACCAGATGCCGAGCTATTTGAAGTCAATCCCTTACTCATGGAGAAAATTTAGTGTTAGTACCAAAAACAACATGCTACGTGCTACCTGTTTTTGATACTCATTTTATAATGTTTAATGTTCTCCTGTAAAATAAAAATTTGTTGGTTAGGGCCTTTGTGAGTTACGAAACGCCAGGTGGCGCTGGACTGAAGTTATTACTAAAAATCATATTTATTGTCCGATTTGGCTCATATTCGAGATATATATTGGTAACGACAGCGGCAATATGTACTTTAGCCCACAAAGAGCTGCAAGGTGGCGCTGGAGTCGAGTTAGTTATTGGTAAAAATCGTCAAGTGGAGTCACTCGGAGACATCAAGGATCAACGTTATTACCATCGTTAAATCAACCACAAGAATAATTGCGGTCCTTGCTTTGCGGCGACTAAACAGAATAAAGACAATGCTTGATAAATGCCTACAAACACAACAGTAAGACATCAACGGTATTTCGTCTGAAATAAGCCTGTGTATATTGGATTTCTGTGGGCTAATGATACCACCCTCCCCCTTTTCAAAATTGCCACCAACTGTACTATACAGATTCAAGGACGATTCAGCATCGAACCAGATCATTGTTGACACAATAACTTCTACACGGGACGAAGTTTTCCGGGTCTGCTAGTAATAATTATATGGGACTTTTATTTTTTTCGTATCGCGGGACATTTATTTCAAGATGGAAATGATTTACGCCTTCGAAAAAAGATACATATTTCTCATAAATAATTATTATACAAAGACGAAAAATTGTTTACTTACAACAGGGCGACGATTTTGTGATCAAATATCTATGGTCATAAGCAATAACCGTTTAAGTCGAAAAACCTAAATTCGAGAAAAAACGTTTTAAACATTTGGATTGGAATGTTAGCCTTATGGGGAAACCGATATATGTTCGTTTATAACTTGTAAATAGCCCAGCTGGCGAGATGGTGATTTCATATACACATGGATCAGTAGTTTCAGAATACGATGGCATATATAACTCAATTTTTTCTTAAGTCGACTTAGGCGGTTATTGCTTATAACT